ACCTATTACAGGGCACGAGCGCTTTGATCGTCATTTCAAATTGCATTTGCTGTTGATGAGAAGAATGTTGATTGTTGTAGTGCTATCGGCAGATGTGGTCTGGTGTTTGTAGATACATTGGATGACTTGTCAATGACATGTAGAGCCGCGCAGTACATACATGCTGATTACTGCAGAAACCAATTGATACTAATCTAAATGCCCTTTGTCTTGATTCTGGGCATGCACCTACATGACGACTTGGACTGCAATCTCGGACTTTGCTTGTGGTTCCGTCACATCGGTCAAGTTGGCTACGGATTTGATGACCGATTCTCTTGGATAAACGCAATGTGTGGCACAGCACAGAACAGTAGCCCGAGAAAGAAGCATAAGCATTGAGGACGAGGATGAGCCAAGGTGCGTACGCATAAGCACCAAGAAATAGATTGATTCGATATCAGAAGTATTACATTAAGCATGGGTATCTGGTGGTATGGTGGTATCATCCGTCAATATCATCCCCGTCGCGTAGACTTTTCTCTCATCTCCTCTCCCTTCCGGGACAAGCAAGCAACCTGGAATACCATGAGCTTACTCCGCAGCCGTAGCCGCTCCCCAGGGACATCATACCTATGCTACCTCGACCGTCTGCATCTGCGTCCCCTCCGTCGCAACAGGCGCCGCACTCTCCTTCCGAGTCACGACTCTGTACCCCGGGACATCGGACTCCAACACCCCACACACAGCAAGGATAACGACGATGAAGAGCGCAAGGAAGAGCAGCCTGGCCACCCGCATTAGCCGACGGCAACCTTCTCGAGGCGAGGGGGGGAAACATGAACATACCACAAGAGCACGGCAAACGCAATCACCGCATTATAGTAATCGGAGTAACTCCACCCGCCCAGCTCGGCTGCGATGTCCGCGAAGCACGCGAGCCAGAACACCATCGTCACGAAGTAGACGCCGACCAGCACGCCCGTGAGGATGGTGTTGAGCCGCGAGCCGGCGGCTGCCTTGGCGCGGTAGAACCAGGGGAGGAGGGCGGCGGCGGCGCAGACGAGCAGGGTCCAGACGGCGGTGAAGAGCAGGAAGGCGAGGATGCCGGGGACGGAGGAGGAGACTGTTTTGTAGGAGTAGCCCCAGGTGCTGGCGGGGTCGTAGACGGCGACTTTGCGGGAGCCGGTGTAGAAGGAGGCGAGGTGGCCGCCGAGGCCGAGCTCGATGACGGCGAAGACGAAGGCGGTGCCCAGGAGGACAAGCGGGACGATGGCCGGGAGGAGCATTTTGGTTTTGTAGTTATCTGTGCAAGCTGCGTAGAATGTGATGCTGGCTGTCTGGGTGACGACCGAGGGCTGGAGGCGGGCGTGCAGTTGCGGCGCGCAGGCTGTATTTATCAACCTGTCTACACCAGACCGAGCTGGAGAGAGCTCTGGCTCATGACTTCAATCCGAGAGCTAACGCTCGTGTCGCAGCCTGGGCATCATCCGTCTCGGTTGGCCTTCCAATCGCGCCGGAAGAAAAGCGCCATGCCGTCGTTGACTGGTCACACACAACGCGCCACTGGAATTCTACGCGAGAAGCTCGTATTCCGCAGATCGACAGGTCAGGCCGGTAGGGCAAGGGTATTTGATGGTGTCTGATTTGCGTGATTCCTGCCCGACAGAATTCGAACTTGGTAAACATCGTGATGATGGAGATGGGTGGAGATGAGTCCTTTGGAACGGATGGGGCTCATTATCAGATGGACTCAACTTTTTCCCCTTGTTTACTTGTTTTGGGGAGATTTCTTTCAGCCCGGGCAGATCTAGTTTAGTGTCTTGCTCCTCGTATCCCTTTCCGAATTTGGTGGGCTTTGATGAGCGCCTTGTGGCAGCCTTGCGCTGTTTCTCTGCATTGACGTGGCTGCATGAGGCTGAGTCTGTGCCTCTGATGAATATTAATTCATTCAACTGAGGCAGCAATAAGGTCTGACAGGCTATCATATGACGTGCAAGGGACAACTTTAGTGCTCGTCATCAAAAGTAGTGGAGATTGATCAGCAACGGTTTATTCCGACAGACTCAGCCCTGAAGGCTATGTCTCTATTAAAGTTTTCATTCAGGATTCAACTTTGTGGGACCTCTTCAATCTTTGGATTTGGACTGTCAGAGTCACACTTGTACGCGCGCAGCAATTCATCTACTCCAGATTTCTCCATATTGTTCCAGCTCAACATCGGTGTGTGATATTATCGCCAATATCAGGGCTCGTCTTCCTAATTACCCTGTTTGGTGATTCTATGTGCCTCTACTATCATTCCAGCTTCTGTTTAAGGCACTGAACCTAGCCAATCCGACAGCGGGACTTGACCGTGGTTGAAGATACATCCGACTCAAATGGCACAGACGCCGCTCAATTAACTCAAAGGCGGGCTCGCTCTTCCAATCAACAAGCTGAAACTGTATTGAGGCGTCTGTCGCCCTTGGCAACAAGAGAAATGTATCCGAGTCCGCGTTTAACTAAGACGTAGTGTAAACTCAAGAGAGAATAGAACTGCTCTCGAATACCAAAAACGGAGACGGTATTCTCTGACCGTCCTGGTATAATCGCAGGATGATCGGGTTCAGCCATACGGGGGTTACCCATAGAAAGAAAAGGCTCACCCAGGCGTAGCCAAGCACCCGTCTCCAACGATAATCCACCTGCTTGATCATTCCGTGGCAGGTATACCACACCAGGTTCTCCAGCACGATGCCTGGAATCTGCAGACAGAAGAACCACAGCGCTCCGCTTTGGTCCAAGGATACCCCGAAGCCCAGATCCATGAGGAAGTGCACTAATCCGGACGTGACAAACGCCATGATCAGCCGCAGATACTTGGCAACAATGCCCTGCGGGAGCCGGAGGACGCCGAACAGCATGAAATCCGCATTAGATGTAACCAGCTTGCGCAGGATCTGATGCCACGCGATTCTACGTCTGTCAGTATCTGGTCGCACCGGAAAGATAATCTACTCACCCCCAAACCCGAGTCAATGAGTACATATCGCCCAACGAGCCGAAAATAGGCGGCCAGTCGACGGGCTCGTACGCGCCCAGAGCGACGAAGAGCATCGCGAGGAGGTTATACATGCCCAGTATAGCCGCTCGAGTGACGAAACCAAAGGAAATGGTGAATAGCATCTGGATGAGCACCCGCCGCGCCGTCCATTCCTCCCAAGTAGGCAGTAACACCTTCTTAGTCTCTGAAATCTCGGAAACCACGCCCGCAAGATGAGCATCCCCCGCGTCGATCGTGCAGAAATGCAGCACGAGCAGCGAGCCGCATACTTTGACTGCACACCGACGCAGGAAATCCCACTTGGTAGGGACGAACCCCGGCTCGTGCCTGTCGAATTCCGGGACAGCGCGGATCTGCCACGGGGTATTGACGCGACGGTAGTTGAACGCCATTTCCACGGACCAGACGAGTCTTCTCAAATAGCTGTTCCTGTCCACGGTCCTTTTCTGGTTGGGTTTCTTGCTCTCCCATGCAATCTGCTCGTCGAACGAGACTCGACTCAACATCAACAAGTCGATGGCATTGAGCACATTGACCCAGCACATGGCGGCTAGAGGTCCACGCGCGCGAGTCTCGGCAAAGGTTTGACGGACTTGAGACTGGAAGGAATAGGCGAGTGCAATGACGATCACAGTGACAGCAGGTCTAATTTTGGAGGATGGCGGTGTGAAGGCGATTGTCCATCCTGTCAGGAGCTGGACGAGCAGCCATTGTGCGAGCGGGATGCTCCAGGCAGATAGCGAGTTGGGATCCATTGAGGATGACTTGAAGAAAAATGAAGAGAGACAGTAAGGGGAAAGACCTGTCAGATTTAAGACGTTGCTGTCATGTCTGGTGGCTGTGTGACTTTTGGTGATTGGTTGCTTGGCAGCCTTTCCTCATTACTCAAATAAGAGCAATAAGAGCAAGACCCACTGACTATTGTTTCAGCCGTGCCAACAGAGGTAGTTAATGAAGACCTGAATGTTGAGTCTGATTGGGTGATGATCATTGCTTGCTTGTCCCTTGCTCGTCCCATGTTCTCAGACGAGCAAGTTGGCTACGATTCCACTGTAGGCATAAATAAGCATAAATAAGTTAGAAACCAGGATAAATGAAACAGTCAAAATAAAAGAGAATACACAACTAGATCATCCAACAGCATGTAGGGTGATCATACTTGGCTGAGTTTGAGCTTGCTAAGAGAAGCCATCATCTACAACCAATTGTGCTATAATATCTTCATGTAAGGATGAGGATATGGCTGATGGCTCTACACCTTGTATACAGTACACCACCCGATTGGGTTTTCGAATATTATTGTATTACATATAGTCGCCCCGAAATATTAAATCTCAAAGATATATATCCTGATATCAACCAACAAGATAATAAATCCCCAGATCTGCCCATTATCTCACCGTAAGTCACGCCACCCATGGATCATCGTCTTCCCCCGCAAAGCAAAGGACTCTCCATTGACCAATATTAGCCTTCAACCATCGCCATGAAGTGTCCATGATCTCACCACCGACACCCATATCCAATCAACACACAACACGGAATATCCCTCAACCATCTGATTGCGTGCCATCAAACCATCCCGGATGGTCTCCATGCAATGACCATTGCATGTCTGTCATCCGTCATCTTTTGCGGGGTTGAAAGATAGGTATAAAAGGCCATTCCTGCGGTCGGCTCTCTCTCTCTTGATCAGCTTCATCTCCAGAGAACAATCAATAGCATATACTAACCGCCACAATGACCAAGGACCTTGTCAGTCAGGCACAGCCGTCGACTATGGCCCCTCCGCTGACCTTCTCTAGAGCTTCGACGTCTACTTCTCCAATGAACAAGCCCACACCCGCTTCGGGGACGGCAAAACCCTTGCAGAACAGTGCGTTGAATCTCATCATCACTTTGTTTAAGCTCCAGACTGACCGTGTCATCCATAGTCTCCGTGAAATCTACGAAGGCGAAGACCTCGTCTTCCCCGATACCTTTGAGCACAGCGACACCTCTCCCCCGGTGCAGTACTTGACGTGGGACTCCCATCATAATCCCTCCTCCTCTACAGCCATACTAATTAGCCACAGCGTCGAAGCGCCTGACGATATGACTGTCGAGGAACTTTACGAGGTAGAGGTTCCTCCTGGATTGATGGTGAGGATTGAGGAGTTGCCGCAGTAGTGGTCGCTCGTCTTTCCTCACCACCCCAAATCGAAGTTTTGTTTTGGTCATTTACGAGATACGATGATATACCTAGGAAATTATAAGCAGCTGTAGGATTATATAGGTGACAATGCATACGTTCAAACCAAGTATGTCAGATGTACGCAGGTCTCAGCCTTCGAATTGATTCGAACAAACAACCCAGGTGCAATCAATCCTCAAGTTACACAGATTAGGTATAGAATAGGGTACATCAGGCCATCAATTGTCATCTTTGATGGCCGCATAGGATTTGTTCAAGGATATTGCTTTTCATTACGTTTTTTGAACAAAATCGGCACGAGGATGCCGGAGATTTGGCCGTTTGCTTCTAGCTCGAACCTGTGGAATCAACGGATCCTTTTGCTCTCATGATGTAAATCCATGGATTGTCGATCACTCCATCTGAGAAATTTTACACTCGCGATCCGATTGCTCGTAGCTGACATGTTCTGTGCCACCATAAGTCCTATCCCTTGCAGATGATCATCCCTTGCCGGTACTCGATTCTCATGAACATCCTTGAGAAAGACTCATCCCTTGTCAGCAGCAGTCAGCAGTAAACACTCAGTCTCACATGGCCTGACAAGATGCATTCAAGGCTGGATTTCCGGTATATCGACCATTGACCACATCGATCAACCCTGTCCATAAGAGTCCGGGTCATCCCAAGGACTATCAATATAACCTCTCGTATCCGTCTTTATCCTTCGCTCCAGGGATCCAATGCCTAGATTGATGCAATTATCCTGCGAATAAAACATACGACTCGCTCGTATCACTACTGGGCCTGGACGCACGGATTGCCTGTTCGCCTAGCTGGTAATTGACCGGTATAAAGGTCCCGGTCTCCTCATTCAACATCCTTTGATCCTGATCGAGCATTCATCTTCACTTATACTCTCGAGTAGGTCGTGATGTCTTACGTTTCTGGTAGACGCTAACAATGCTGGGCAGAATGAAGTTCGTTTACCTGCTTGCGTCCCTCACTGCTTTGGCTCTGGCTGCGCCGAGCCCCCTGGCGGATTACGCTTGCCATCCAGAAGGGGAGACGTGTGCTACAATCATTGGTCTGACTGGAGTCTGCTGCCCTGGACTTGAGTGTGTATACATTCATCCAGACCTGGGGGTGAGTAGTATATCTTCTTGAGGGAAGAGTGGAGAGCATGGCTGATGCTTGTGTAGGTCTGTCAGCCTAAGAAGTAGACCAGACTTATTGGAATGGTGGCTAGTGGCAGTGGCACTATTAGTGTCTGCTACTGGATTGGATGCTGAATGACACATGGTTCCTGATACTTAATCACCTTCATAGTATTTATTAAAAAGAATATGCCTCTTTGATGAGTCTTTCGAGCAGAGACAGAGCATGTTATGTCTCATGCTCAAGCCCTGGCTCTGCTGAGACTTCTCAGTCAATAGATATGGATTATTATTGTTGTTATTATATTGATTAACATCCAGCAGAGCTGAGGCATAGCCTGGCTCCTAAGATCTCCTATAGGGTATAGGGATGTACTAAGCTATGAATTTATATATAAGATGTGTAACTATATAGATTATATAACTATAGAAAGTAACTTAAGTAAGTGTGGTGGTATATAACTAGTTAACTATTAGACTTCTTAATATATAAAAGAATAGCAAGAAGTATAGAGCAGATAGTAAGGCCTTATAAAGAAAGAGAGGGCCCAGTACTCTCCACTGTCGCCCACTTCTGTCCTCTTATCAACCTCATAGGCTGTTCCCAGGCCTGCAACTCTCAATATATTTCCCCAAAGGCATCTGTCGCCGTCCTATAGCCAGTCCCAAGGAAAGCAATGTCCTGAAATTGATGGCCCTAAGTTTTCAGAGGATGGCAATGAGCTCTCCAAACCTTTTTGTATGCATCACTATCACACAGAATCACAATATAGTCACAAAAACACCAAACTCCACTGGACCAATCAGAAAGACTGTCCTGTGAAGCCGGCAACCATTGCCCCTCAATACAAAACATCCAACGCCAGATAAGCGCTTTTGTCTGTGCATATTCCCATATGGGTGTTGGTCTGCAGCCAATCACTGATTCTAAACCCATGTTACTTGCCAAGAGCTACAGTAGGCTCATTAGGAAACCTCAGAGCTCAGCTTCCGACTTGGGTCTTAATCCTGATTCAACATACTCACGTGATTTCAGCCACTAGTTCACTTTAGAGTTTAGACCTCCAGAAGGCGCAATCTGTAACTTTTTTGGATCGGACCCAGTAAGGTAACATCCTGTCAGATTGCACATAATATGGTAATATAATTATGCTGGTAATCTGAGCATATAAAGGTTAAACTAGGACATATTCATGCTATATCTATAAATATCTATAATTTTCTATATAAGGAGCAATAAGACTAGAAGTTATATATATTCTGGTTAACTAAGTCTAACTAGAATAGGTAAAATAAGTAAGCATAAAATATATAATCTAGTACTAAAGATATAGTGCTTTAACACACCTCCCTAGCTAAGAATTAGTAAGAATTAGCTGCACCTACTAATAGGCACTATCTTTGGTTTATAACTACTACCTTCCTAATCTAGTTATATATTAAGGGTATCCAGGTCCTTTAAACCTAGTATCTTAATAAATTTTTAGTGTTTTTCACTGTATAGAGGCTTAATTAGGCTATCTACTAATATCTAATTAGTTAGAACCTACCTAATATTCACCTCCCTAGCCTAAGCATGCTCTTACAGCTAGTATTAATAAATATTAATATATTATAGTTTAGTTATAATATAAGGTTCTTTACTTGTAATTAGATAAATAGTCTAGCTATTATTATATTAGATGAAAAGGTCTATCTTAGGGTTAAATTATAAGGCTTTAAACATATATTTTTACTAGAAAAGTTACTTCCCTACCTTAGAGATTACTAACAGCTTAGCTTTAGTAGATAAGGTAGTTACTACTTACTATATATTACTAAGATGCTTACTAGTCAACTAGACCTCTAAAAAACTTTATAATATACCTCTTAGAACTGTGGTAGTCTAGATTATCTATTAGTAAGGCATTACTAGTAGTAAGAAATACCTCTCTAGTAGGTGCTAGAGCACTATTAAATTTAACTATATATTACTTCATTCTAATAAGATATTTAATTAGATAGATAGCTGCTTTAAGGTGCTACTAACCTAGGTTAGAAAGATACTAAGATAGGGAACTTGCTATGTGTGCAGTATTAGGTCTAGTAATAATATTTAGATAGAGAATTAATCTAATAAGCTACTAGTATTAGTATATCTCCTGTCTTAATGCTATATCTATAAATAGTATTAATTTCTTATATAAAAGAGGTAATTTTAGGAACTTCTTAGGTAAGATATTATACTTAGTAGTAATATACTTAATATAGGCATCTTAATAGAGCTAGAGCTTCCTATTTATATAATCTTAGATAATTTAAATATTAAGGAACTACTGCATAGGGCCTAGGTTTTTAATTTTATACTTAATCTCTAGCTATTAGATGAATTAATCTACCTTCTCTTTTAATCTAGGGGTCTAGAAGTATAAAATAAGGATATTGTCTATAAAGAATATTACTATTAGATTATCTTACCCTATAGTAGTACTAGCTTTTATAAAAAGATATAGTTTATCTAGTATAGGCATATAGCCTAGTTAAACTAGGGTAGTAGATAGCTTCTTCTACTAAAGGTAAGGTAATCTACATAGACTACATAGTGATTTTCTTAGGAGTTATACTCTCCCATACTTATATCTGCCTAGTGGTAATCCTATATATACTATTTTATCTAGATTAGATTAGATGAATATATTAATGATATCTTGTAGCGGGCAAGGCCCGCTGAATGCTCGAGCTCACTGAGCACTCGCGAACTGCCTCAGGCAGGCTAGGTCACGTGATTCTGTACTAAGTAATGTCACAGCCATGTCACGTGACCCCGTTTCTCCCTCGCACACCCCTCTTCGTGTTCGGCCGCTGCGGCCCCAGTTAGAACCTCTTAGCGATTTCTTACCGTCCAAACCTAGGTTATAGGTTGAATCGGCTTCTAGCCCGTGACATATCTAGCTAGATAACCTCTAGGTTAAATATAGTAATAAGAGATATTATTATTCTAAAGAGCTTAGTAGCTAAGGTTATAGCTACTATATTATCTTAGTTAATAGGTTAAAGATCCCCCCTAATATAAAGATATGCTTTAAACTTTAAGAGATAGCCTTCTTTATTAAATTTATATATAAATACCTACTTAAAAGTTATAATAAACGTATTATCTAGTTAATCTATCTCTTTATAGGTGCCTAGGGCTATAAGATTATCTACTTCCTTCTTAGCTATATAAATCTAGTTAATTTTAAATATATAGTATTATATACTTTTCTAATTCTTTAGTAGTAGTAGAAGGTCATCTTAATAAGGCTTCTTATTTAGCTTATTAAACCCTTCTTATTTCTTATGCATCCCTACTATAAATATATAGTATATACTTATATATAAATTTAGTAGTAGTTATAATATTTAAATATAAAAGGACTATCTTAGCTTCTATTCCTATTTCCCTTCTAGAATTTATAATAGGCTTAGTATAAGCTATATCTCCTTAGGTAGTTATACTAGTATATATAGTAGTAGAGGTATTATTTACTTAATATAGGTTCTCTTCATAGGTAGAGATCTTACAGGCATAGGTGCTAGATATTCTAGATTTCTTACTAAGTATAGATTAAATAGCTTAATAAGGTTTAATTCTATTAGATTACTAAGGTTATTATTATTACTATTACCTCCTGATAAATCTAGGCTTAATAATTTATCTCTCATTAAGACCTTTAAAGGCACCCTTAGGGTACCCTCTAGATATCTTTATAGTAAAATCTATAGTGTCTAGTATGTAGCTAGTACCTATAATATATATAGTAGTATCCCTACTAGAGTATATAGCTAAGTGCCATCTTCTTCTTTAAGATTAGGGAACC